TTGTCGCAGCTAGACTTCTGCCTATTTTAAGTCCTGTAGACTGTCGAAATCGTCTGTTTCCTATCGTCTTGGTTTGTTGATCATAAGCTTCGTTCTGCGGTCCTTTAGTACTAGTTAAAGTCTGAATTTCCTCATTCAGTTCTTCCCAACTGAGTTTGTCTGTCAAGTCCTCGTCTGGGTACTCCATTGTCTATATTGCTCGGTCCTTTCGACTCTCTTAGAGCTATAGTTATTTTCATAAGTGTCATGTCGTCTTTAACCAATATCTGGTTGCCGCTTTTCCTTCGAACTATATGGTATGTCCTTTATACTACATGGTGATTTGTTTGCCTATTTTCTAGTATAAAACTTCCAGTCGTTCGTGTGGCGTTATGTTTTCTTGGTCCGTTATATTGACACTTTTTCCATCTATCTATCCTGAGTATTTGTCGATGTGTACCAGACACTCCTTGTCTATATAATACCTCCAGTAGATATTCTTGCTGTCCCTGCACGATGGACATTTCATATAGTTTTCGTAATGAAATCTTCATCCTGATTTCCATGTTTCTTTAAAGATGTGGTATTTATAGTGGCAGTCCCACCCATATTCGTCGTGGCATGGGTGCCTGGGGTCTCTGACTTCTGTCTGTTTTTCCTTGTTGTATCTGAAGCATAGTCCTTTTTCTTTATATACTGTCTAGTGTTCATCGGGTATCTGGTTATTACATTTCTCTCTTTGTTCCCGTAGTAGTTTGTGACTATCTTTGAACGTTATCCGTGGTGCTTCGTTTTCCCAATTGTTCATTTCCTGCGTATCTTCGTATTCTGATTCGGTTTCTCCTTCCGAGTCTGTTTATTCTGGTGTCACAATTCTTTGGTTCGGGCCTATTACTGGATCGTATGTTCGTTGTCCTATTGTCGCGTTCTGTCGTATCAACGCTGGTTGTTTTCCTTGTTCAATCCGTTCGTCCTGTTTCTGCCATCCTTGTCATTGCTATATATCAGGTACTCGTTTATATGTGTCGTCGAGTTCGTTTTCTGGTGGCTATAGATAGGTGACTTTCCTTATTGCCCTAAGGTATTGTCTGACGTTCTGTGAGTCTTGGTAGCCTCCTCTACCCTGTTCCTTCTCGTGGCTACTAGTCTTAGACGTAATGGTAGCGTTGAGGTGCTTCTTGGTATCCCCTTGTTTCTTCCTACAGTCTTTTGCGATATGTCCGGGTTTCTCGCAGTAGAAACATAGCTTCTTGTCCCTGCATCTTTTGCTTTTCTCGGTATTATAAGGTCGTTTTTCAGTGGCGTCCAACTCCATGGGTGTGGTGCCGTAATCGTTGCGTTTGTTTGACCCTTTGTATTGGTTTGCTTTCCAGAAAGTGTTCTTTCCTTGTCGTATGTTTCGTAGGTTGTAGAGTTGATTGTCGATGCGTACTGCCATTTCAACCATTCGTTCGAAACTGTTGTATGGTCCCATCTTGATGGTTTCGTATTGGGTTTCTGGTTTTAGTCCTTGTTCGAATATAGCCATTTTCTGCTCGTCGTCGTGGATTCCTAGTTCTTGACAGATCTGCTGTAGTTGCGCTGCGTACTGCGCTGCGTCCCTGGTTTGTCTGAGTCCCTGTAGTTTGCGTTGTAGGGTCCTCTTTCTGTCGGTGTCTCCGAAGAATTGTCTGAGTACTTGTTTGAATCGTGCGTAGCTGTTGAGTACATCCGCGTATAGCATGGGTCGTCCTCCGGTGTTAGTCCAGTCCTCGAGATATGGTTTGAACCATGTTGCCGCTGCTTCTCGCATATAGGATCCTGCGAAGATAACTTTTTCTATATCAGTGACTCCTGGTTTAGTTGCCAGATAGATGTTGCATTCCCCTAGGAAGTGTTCCAGTTTGGCGCGGTCTCCTTTATAAGTATCGGGTTCGTGGATCTTAACAGTAGTTCTCTTATCTCTGGTTCTGACTCTGAGTACGTCGATGGCGTCTTTGTGACTTTTAACTTGTTCTAAAGTCTGTTCGACGATGTCCTTGCATTCGTTAAGTAGTCTTCGTTGTTCTTCCACTTGTTTGTTGGTTTCATCCAGCTGCTCATCGTTGGGTTGCTCTTCGACTCTTTTTTCCAACTCGATGATTTTCTGTCGCATTTGCCCTAACAAGGCGTTGGTGTTGGTGGTTGGTCCACTTGCTGATGACATATTGGCTCGTCTTGCTTTGGTATATTCCTGTAGTTAGTATGCTCTCAGGGGTAGGGTGATACGTACCTAGTTTTGTCCTTCTTGATATATAATCGTAAGTCACTCGGGTCAGAGTGTCTATGACAGTATGGTGGCTCTAGTAAGTCGGAATTACTTTTGCCTCTTCGTAACCGTGAAGTCGGGGCTCTATCAAGTCGAAATTGATTATGCCTCTTTGTAACCGTGAAGTCGGGGCGATCAATGTCACAAGCTGACGGCGCTCCTTGATTACCTAAAGGTGATCAGAGGTTCACACCTGCCGTAAGATAGAAGGTACGAAGGTCTTAGGGAAAGCTTGGGTTGGAAGTAAGTTGTTATAGGAGACGGCTCGGTACCAGGGTGAGATAGAATACTATAGCGAGACTATCCCTCAGTTCCAAGTGTGGCTTCAGTCAGTGCCTTGGTTGGATGAAGGCTAAAGGTCCTTATGAGCAGTGAAGACAAAGTTGACCTGTGTTAATGGGCAAAGGGGTATTCGGTAAATATAGTATAAGACAACTAGAATGGTGCTTTGTATTAAGTAGTATGGTAAAACTGTAGCTGGTTTGATCGCGAGTATAAGACTCTTGATCCTGAGGAAATGAGCGTCTTTATATACATAGTATATATCTAGTGATAGGTACGATAGTTCTCCACCAAGGGGTTCCTATCACTCCTATTGGTTGTTATGATAGTATCGATAGGAAGCTGCCAAGCCCATCCTATCGGTCCTATCGCCATTGGTCACGTGACTAGTGCCCTCAAGGTCTGGCCTGTGATCCTCCCGTCCAATGAGTGTATATCCTGGGGCTGCGCCGCAGGTGGTCTGTAACACGTTAGCTGGAAAATATAATCCATTACTCCTCCGTTATACTATGAGGCCGGCTTATCGCTGTTAATCACCACCTCTATAGGTCCATCCTTGTGGCGAAAGACAAATGTGGACATGAGATTCGAGAGTAAAGGTGTGACAAGTCGCGTTGGTGACCATCTTCGCTTTGCCATCTATAGGGGATTCATGAGATATCGAAGCGCGCAGATTCGTCCCTCATTTCTGCGTGGGAAGAAAAGAAAAGGTCTGGTGGGCAATAGACCCAACGAGGAGATGACGAGGCCAGAAGCTTTTTTTGAGCTAGCCAATGGCAATTCACAACGCTATTATGCCACGCGAATCTTAGCCTAGGTTCGTGACCCTTGTTGTACTACCCTTGATATAATAAAATTGATCAGCGGCCACGTGACTCAGAGTACAACGTGCCAAGAATAAGTAGTCCAAGGGATGGACTACGACGAAAGCCTAGGGGAAGGACTTTGGGAAATGTATATAAGGATGCTCATGTCCACACGATTAAAGAGATTTATTCTCGCGATCAAAACCAGTTACAGTTTTACTATACTCCTCAATATAAAGCACATTCCATATTTTTATAAGAATTTGCTACACTATATACCTAATAGCTTCATCGCAACAAGAACCTTAAGCCTTCACGCTGAGAGCCACCGGCTTAAGCCACACCTGAAACTGAGAGCAGCCTAGCTATAGTATCCTATCTCGCCTCAGTATCGACTCGTCTTCTACAACGCTTCACCATCAGCCAAGCTTCCCATAAGAGCTACTTTTTCACTCTTATATCAGGCTTGAGCCTATATCTCCATCTTGGATTAAGGAGAGTCGCCAGCTTGTAGCACTGCGGCGCGATGAAAGTCACTGGCTATAAGATGGAATAACGCAGGTAACTGACCATGCCACGTAACTAGGTTTGTAATGAGAGTGGCCTTCCAGCTCCAGAGCCTCCAGGCGATCGAGACCTGTTGCGCTCAAGTCGGGGCCCCTTGATGGGGCTGCTTCGGAGCCTCCAGATAGTTGTCCCTTGAATATCTTGCTTGACTCAATCAGTGCAATGTGACGGCCCCAATATTATAAATGCTCTTTAACTCGACATGACCTTCATTACTGAACTCCCTATAGTTTATTATAAAGGTTGTATGACTAGTTAGCTGTAGAGCTTGTTTATATTAGAATAACAGAAAAGACTGTAGGTTTACAGGACGGCCACAGGTGACAAGGTTTATTCAGACAAAGATCAATGTTGCATCCAGAAGCCACAGCCGCGCTCAACAATACCAGCCCATGAAGTAGGAAGGCTTCTGTAGCATGCGTTTTTAACTCTTTAGTCGCACACTGTTGAATTCCCATCAAACGCTCTAGTCTGATCTAGGGAGAAATTTATGTTCCTTTCCTGCCTTTTCCGCGCCGACGGACTCTTCTTCAACTGCAGCAAAATTAAACTTTTCTCGGGGAGCAAATCGTATACCCCCTTTGCGTAGGCAGGGTCAATGAGATACAACTGTGCTAAATATATGATTTGAATAATCGTGTACTCAACCAAACGAAGTACACTGGCGGTGTTACTGTGCAGGTGTTCCCTTGCTTCGGTGGTCATAACACGTTTGTATAGCTAGCCGGGTTGTTCGTATTCGGATAGATTGTCTTCATGGTAGAAGTGCGATTGACGGCCGACATTATTGTCGGGTGTCCGGTATACTACTTCCGCGGCATCAGGCGAAATTTAGATACGAAGCTATTAGGCGCATAATGCGGATTCATTGCATGATTGGCATCGACGCGGAGTGGGCCATCAAAATTGAGCGAAGAGTATGACTGTGCCATAAAGGGACAGTTGACAGGTATTTGATGTAAGTTGACGCCGATCCGATGATACTGTGCGCACGATAGAAGAACATCCGGAACTGCAATAGCGGGTCCGGACTATCTTCAATTCCAGGCACCATACTTCCAGGAGAAAAGGCCGCCTGCTCAACGTCCGTGGAAATTCTCAGGATTCTTATCAAGAATAAGCTTGCCAAGCTCATGCATCTATACCCAGGTAAGCTTATGGTCGTTCCACAGGCGGATAGAATAACGAACTGGGAAGAGGGCCCTAGGCCAAACTTTTGTCACGTCGAAAGGGTCGAATTTCAACTTGGTAGCATCTGCCTCTTCTGGCTTCATTACTTGCACATAGGCTGTCCAAGAGATCTTTTCCCCGTTCTCGATGGCCGACCACAGGTCACGCTTGGAGTAATCTGGATCCTCACCGCTCATCTGAACAGCTTCGCTCCGAGTGAACTGGCGCTGTCCATCATCTGCAAGGAAATGGTACTTCACGTACACATATTCGCCTTCCTGGTTTACCCACCCTGGCAAGTGTGAGCATAGCACAAGATTTCAGCTAAGTATAAGGTCAAATTACCACTTGAATGTATGGCAACCATAGCCATGTTGGTTTCTCCAACCTTTGGGGGTCCCATGATCGCTGAAAAACATCAGACCAGCATGGTTTCTAGGCCATGAGCTAACCGGTGTTTTCACACCGGAGCCGCGTAAAAAGTGCGCCTAGTAGTGTAAGTCTCCAACATCTCAGAGTTTCAAAAACCCACGCACTTTACAAATTGATGACATGTCATTAGTGGTCTCGAAATGACCGAATGCTCCACTGCCGCCTGGAAATAAGGCCATCATCAGCTTCTGGAACGGTGCGGACATGGTGTGGTTCTAGCTCACATGGATGCAGCATACGCTCAAGATTTTTTGAACGATTGAAATGTTGTTGCTTTTGCAGTAAAAATGTATCCGAAACAAGCGGTAAACCCCCAGCGGTTTTACTGTGTGCAGGATCTGGCAAAGGCGCACCTTCATTATCGGCGAAGTAGGGAGCATCATCGGCTCTCTTTCCACCCTGTTGTACTCCTGCTAGTCTTACAGCAACCTTTGCTGGGCCATCATTTGCACCCTGGAATAAGGAGGTTAGCTGCTGCGGCCTCGGGTCTGCTCCTGTGGCCCCAACCGCGGCCCCGATTGCTTGAAGTGGATGCGTCATGACTGAACTAATCTAGCCAGCGCCAGGTGTCGAAACAGACAAATAAATACCTAGAGAAAGAAAAGATGCCGACTAAGCTAAAATATTCGTTGGCGGCGCCGTAAACCTTTCTTTTTATATGTTGGACAATCCTGGCATTCCAATATGCTAGAAAATTTGAATAGTTAGCAAGCAAATATATTCCTAAGGGGAATGATAAGTTCAGATATAAACCGCTTTTAGATACAGGGTACATTTTCTTGAGAACGTCATGACTCATATATGATCGAAACTGGTTTCGCTTGGTTATAAAGTTGGCGAAGCTTTGTGACAAGGGTTGCCGACCGTGACGAGCCAATAGTTATTGGGGTTTTACTACGTATGTATAGTATGATCATAGAAGTAATAAATTATAGAATTAGAAGGGAAAAGGCCTAGGAGTAGGAAAAGATGATATCATGCGTGCGTCATGAAGTCTCTATATCGCGAAGACTCAAGTCAAGGCAAACACCATGGCTCTTGAAGAAAAGCATGATTTCTGATCCTCCTAGTTCTCCGGATGGCCAGAGCTGGACTACAAGTGCGCGGTCTCAGCTACGTAACCTCAAGTCATGGTTCGTTGATTCTAACTGGAAGCCGAAGTGACGTCACTTACCCTAAATTGGTTATCGAATTCACCGAATATATATATATGCACCTGATACATGTATGGATCAGTAGCTGATCTGGGATCGAGTAACTGCGAATCGGCCTTTCAAAATCCATCCTTCATAATCCAAAATCCATCTTTCAAAAGCCATCAGCTGACTTCTTGAGAGTTGCTGCGAATTGCAAGGAAGTAAGCTACAATGGCACGAAAACTTTGTATCACCGCTGCTGATGGTCATACCGGCCATCTCATCACAGAGCTTCTTCTCACGGATCCAAATTTCAAAAAACAGTTCGATTCAGTGGCTGGGCTCACGCTGCATCCCAATGCCGAACGCTGTGAGCAGCTGAGGAAACTGGGCGCAAAAATTGTCCCGCATAAACCAGGACGATTGAAGGATATGGTGAATACCCTGCAACAGACACATGTTGATACACTTTGCCTCATTCCCCCTGCACATAGAGATAAATTTGACATTACTGTCGAGTTGATCAATGCTGCAAAAAAGGCGAATGTGCCAAATATCTGTTTCATCAGTTCTGCCGGAGCAGATCTTGCAGAGAGAGATAAGCAGCCGAGACTTCGCGAGTTCATTGACCTTGAATGTCTCTTTCTCTCGTCCAAGGGAGATCCATCGACTTCAGCTGGGCACAGTCCAGTAGTAATTCGGTAAGATTCTCGTTGGTTTACTATGTGAAAAGACTATATCTATATGCTAATATGTGTTTGCAGTGCCGGTTTTTATGCAGAGAACCTCTTACTCTATGCCCCTCAGGCTAAAGAGGAGGGTAGGCTGCCTCTACCCATTGGCAAAACGCATAAGTTTGCGCCAATCGCTTTAGGAGTAGGTTATCTCAAGGAGGTGTAATATATAATACTGGATATACTAATGCTGGTCTAGGATGTGGCTCAAGTGGCGGCCCATGTACTGACCGGCAAGGGAAAACATGGCTTCAGCGACTCCCATCGCGGTCAACTTATCGTCCTCACTGGTATGTGAACGCCCAGACTTATTCCAAGCGTCAATCTCGCTGGCACACACTTAATCTTTCTACCAGGCCCTATGCTTGCCACTGGCGACGAGCTTGCTGAAGCAGCTAGTAACGCTGAGGTCGCAAAGCTAGAATTCGATGATATCTCCGAGTATGGCCGCCTTGTTTTGCATTGAGATTATTGCAAATACTAATAATTAGTAGGGCCGAAGCTAAGAAGGTGCTTCACTCGCAGTCAGAGAGCGATGAATCCGAACTACAGTACCTTCTAGAATATTACTCATTGGTTCGTGAAGGAAAAACGAATTACATTTCAACAACAGCATTCCACGATATCACAGGATCTCATCCCCAGGAGCCACTCGATTTCTTCAAGGTTTATAAGGAAGAATTCCTTCCTCACCATGCAAATAAAAAGAGGAAAGCGCATAAGGGTTGAAGTCGGCGTGCATTGGGTATTAACGATATTGGCCCTACTTGTACGGCTAGCTGTTAAATAAAAGTAATATCACATCTATGATTATTATATTGACTTAATATGATTTTTAAATGCTTCTTAATTAAGACACGGACCAGATCGTCTTAAGGTCCTTGAGGACGGATGGGTTATCCGGCTCCTTTGTCCAACCGTTCGCGAACTAAACATAAGAGCCTGGCTTCTCAGCATTAGCTCAGCAACCGATCAGTCAAGTAACCAGTAGCTAACGCGTAGACGCTCTTTTGTAACATGTCGATGATTTGTTCACCAATAGGCCAAGTCCTAGCCAACCGGTGTGTCAGTCGCAAATCACTCGAGATTGTAGGAGAGATTTACCATGGTAAAGAACCAACGCCTGTCCAATTTTCCAATGTTTGATCAATTGCAAGACGGATACCGACGAACATAAGGGTCGCAAAAGGACCTTACACTGCTACCCCCGCAGCACCTGCGCCTATTCCATAGATGCAAAGGCTGCAGAATGAGATATTGGGTCTTTGATATCGAAGAATTGCAGGACGCGGAGACATAATCGCGTTTGCGTGCTCAACCCTTAACAATCGGATTTCGCTCTCTATACTGTCTTGCGGCTAAGATTTTGCGAGAATCAGCAGCTAGTTAAGAAGGCAAAAGTCTTGATTTGATGTATGAGTACTGAGGAGCAAGACCCTTCCGGCGCAACCTGGGCCTAGCCAAGGGACCGTATCATTGATGTGCAGGATAAAATGACGCAACTTTTCACCACACGCAATATCTCACTTTAATAATAGTTGCTTCAAGTTGGTAGTATTCAATGCGTACCATGTCGCCTCAAATGACAACCGGTATAATACTATTAGCAGCCGGGGAGCAACCATGTTAGGCCAATGCTACGTCAATATCTACGTCATCCTTACTATACTGGACTTATGTAAGTTATACTCATATATATTATACGGCCACTGATCTGACTTGCAATTAGTCTAACTGGCCTGCGCTCTTCGAAACGTCTAACACTAAGGTTAGTAAAGTTGATAGTAATTGGCAAGTATATTAGTTCTAACCACGTGCATTTAGTATCGGTTTAAGGCATACGCGACTTAACCTTCTATATCCAACCATCACCGCACCACTGTCCACTCGACCCAATATGGCGAAGATTTCTGATACTATAAAATCAGACCATCGAGCAATCAAGGAATGTTACGACAAGATTGTCAACTCATCTAATTACGAGCAGCAAGTGCGATACCAAAATCAATTCACCTGGGAATTAGCCCGCCACTCCATTGGAGAGGAGCTCGTTGTTTACCCTGCCTTTGAAGAACATCTTGAAAATGGAAAAGCAATGGCAGATAAAGATCGTGAGGAGCATCAAGTTGTACGTTCTCGCAGAGATTCCTGGGTAGAAATAAGTCTAATCTAGTCCCCCAGGTAAAAGAACAGCTCAAAGCTTTTCAAGGCATGAAGCCTTCAGATCCAAATTTCCAATCCACGATCAAAAGCTTGATGGACAAACTCTCCCAGCACATCCGTGAAGAAGAACAAGAGGATCTAGTCAAACTCGAAAATAGTCTTGCGAATAACGAGAGTGAGGCGCTTGCCACCTCTTTTAAAAGAACTAAGGCATTCGTCCCTAGCCGGCCCCATCCAAGCGCCCCGAACAATCCTCCCTTTGAAACTGCAGTTGGTCTCCTGACCGCCCCAATCGACCATCTGGCTGATATATTCCGTAAATTCCCCGATCACAAAGTCAGCCCCAATCCGTCGACCAAATGATAATTGCGTTGCACAGTTACAAGTTAGGTGGATTTATTTTAAACAATATAATTTGAGGAGTGTGTTGTTACGTGAGAGAAAGCTCACCGACGAAAGGGGAATCGCACGGATTTGGAGGATGTATTTCGATTTCTAGTGCTCGTTGCTCTCTAATTACGAGACTTTAATTGGACCTTTCCTTTAAAGTTCGACCATCAATCATCTCGAAAATAGGTGTGGTAAAGTCTAGTATAACTAAAGCTTCATTCTGCTTGCATAAAAACCTTTCCACAGTTTAAGCGAGACGAGCACTGTCTCCCCTTTCATATAAACGTCTCAGGAGAAAACGAGAAAAGGCTAGAATTAAAAAAGAGAAGAGCCTCACAGTTATACCACGATAGTTTCGATTTTCTTTCGTTTGTAATAATTTGTAAGGCTTCTTGAATAGCCCATGCAGTTGTTAGAGAGTTGTCCTCACTCTAAAGCCTCGTACATGCGTAATGACGTTATAATCAGACTAGACTGTGTAAGCAAATAGAATAGGTGTTACAGAATTCAAGACCTGAATGGACCATTAGAGCGAGAATTAGACCAGGGGTGACATATTTGCCAATGGGGAGGTTGGCCGTTGCTTTAATAATGACACCCATACCACGTACCACGCAGGTGGATAGCCATTGTCGTTCGCAGCGTTGAATATAACCAGGAAAGAAGTACCTGGTGAGGATTCAGTCATTGAGAAAAGACACAGAAGACTGGTCTTAAAAAAGTCTCCCATTAGCTGCAAAATATAATAGAGAAGGGCGTGCTTTTTCCCTTGCTAGCCGGAAATAACCTCAACCTAGTTACACCAGCCGCTGTTTGTGAGTGTACAGGAACCCGCACAGTGACGCAATGGAACCCCGCATAATGCAGATCCATGCCTTTATATCACTTAGGTGCAGATCCATCTGCATGCATGTATTAGGGGTTGTCTCTGACCAGGATAGAAACAACGCCTTGAACTAATAAACCGAGTGTAGAATGGGCCGAAAGTCCCGAATTCCAAGAGTTCCCCTGAGTGTTCGAGATTGACGACTGAAGTAGATTCCCCCATCCTTGACTGATCTATGAACCCAGACGTATGGATAGGAACTGGTGGCCGACAGTAACTAATCGTATAGCAGTTTTTTCAACTCTTCCGTCTACTTGAACTGACTCGCTTTAGACGGAGTACTTGGGTGTTATCGACGTCATGTTACGAAACCGGTACGTGCCTCCTGAGAAGGGGTGCTTTGTTCTGTGTCGTTGTCCTATTATACCTCGATTATATTGGGTCAATGGGGCGCTGTCCCTTACGGCAGTCAATTCCAAAGGAGGAGAAGGAGCTTGCTCAATCTTCAATTGCGTGGCGTATAACTTTCATATTGAAAACGAACTCTTTACTAACATCTCGATTTTACAGAAGGTCCCAGAAGCCGGATGAGGCGTTCTACGTTCAATTCAGACGAAAATACCCCAATGCGAGTGCCAACCTAGCAATTACCACATCGAATATCTCAAAAAGATCCTTGGTAGTCGATCCTACCACGAGACGGTCACCATTTCAGAGGTTGGTTACATTGATTCACCTGGCGGGCTAGCACTGAAAATTCAAATATTTTGGATTCCTTTCTACCCAAAAACATTTGTGGGAAAGACTGTTCTCTGCTTTACTTAAGTCTGCACAGCGCTAACAGACAGCTTCTAATTATAGGCTGTTCCCCTCAGATCCCTATAATCAAACTCCAAAACCTGTACCTGGTCAATCGGGATTGACCCAATCCATCGCCTGTCCTGATTTCTTTCCCTTCTCAACCTTCATCAATCTATCACCGTCATGCAACCCCTGCACAACACCGGATACGGTGAAGATGGCTGATCAAAATCAATCAACCGACCTTACAGCCTCGAACGTGACACTTGGGTCACCCACTCCAAAAGCTGATGACCCGTCAGTGTTCTCAAAGCCACCCGGCGACTTGACTGCTGCGCAACAACCACCCGTTTCGCATATAGGACAATCTATGAACGCTATTGGACAACAACATCACGATATACCTGAGGCACTGCTTTATGAATCACGTAACCTCGGCCCCTGGGGTCACTTATCAAATGCCGCTAATGACTTACAATTTTTACCGTGGGGAACTGGGAATTACTTCTGATTATCGTCGAGGGTCAACAATTTCAATAGAGAATTGTGATTCCAGTTGCGAGTAAGTATATTGTGGTAGCATGGGTATATAATGTTATCTCATCAAGCGGATGAATCGACGTGCTAACCTGCTGGAATATTTCTATCTTTCAGTTTCCGGTTTCATACTAAACTGCATGCGGCTACTGCAATGGTGCGACATTCGGATGATATACCAATTACTAATCTTAACAAGGGTCAACCGTATACTTTGTCTATATTAGATGCTGGCGCAATACCCTTTGACTACTATCCTACGAAGTATCGTACAGCCGTACGAATAAATTTTGAAGAGGAGAAGCAGCGTTTGAAACCGGCGAGCTACTGGAAACTATGGCAAGAGGGCCGTGGTGCAAATATGGCTTATCAATGTGACAGTACACTCCTTGCAGTTGAATACGTTGACCACAATCAGGGCGATGACGAAGCACTACGCTATCATCAAGTTCAGCTGGAACATAATAACATTGACGGTTTCTCTGTGGTATGGGCTCCTTGCAGAACTAACGGCCGACTTGAATGTGCTATATCTGTTCGATTCAACTTCGTATCAACAAATTTTAGCCACTCCAAGGGCATAAAGGCAGTCCCCCTTAGACTTTGTGTTAAAACAGAGGTCGTTTCAGCCTCTCCGGATATATCTAAGACCAATTACTCAGAAGTGAGTTACTGCAAAGTCAAGATATTTCGAGACCATGGCGCGGAGAGAAAGCTTTCAAACGACCTTGCCCACGTGCAAAAGCTCATCCAGAAGACAAGGGGAAAGATTTCTCAATCTAACCGGGGATTTATAACCCACGGCAAGCGGGAGAGATACAACTCCGTGTTGGTTAAAGCGGGCAGCAGAAAAGTGGCTAAGACACCTAAGTTAAAGAAACCTTTGTCGTGTGGCCAGGAGCTTTCTGCTAAATCATCCTTTGTAGATGACCCCCATTTAGAGCTTAAGTGCCGGATAGGTATGATTACGTCCAGACGAAATTTCAGTGTTCTTAATATTAAGGCCGACCCTCAAGATGACCCAGACCTCTTTCCTGTGAAATTCGACTCATCACAAAACGGCAGCAATTTGCTTGAGCGAGAATCAGCAACGGAGAATAAGGTCTCACATCCATCGCTATCAGTCAGCAGCTGCGATTTTGAAAACTCGTCCCGCCGCTCCTTCGGAACTGAGAGGTGCTTGATCTCCAACAGCGCTGTCTCTCAAGGCTCATGCCGAGGATCCGTCGATTTGCTGGATATTTCCCACGGTACCGATGGGCAGCCTCATCCCAAGAATACTCGGATTCCAGGGTGCCAGGCGAAGGCCCAGAATACAGCTGCCAACGGTGAAATTGGCGGCCAACGCGAAATTATTGATTCGAGGTACAGTTCAGCCGAACCAACAAAACCAAAACCACAAAGTAATTATCTTCACTCAGCGTATTATAGTTGTGTACCTCCGATACTAACTATTTTCTTAGAGCATTGCTTCTATGTCAAGAGATATCAGAATAGCAGTAAGCCAAATGGAAATTATTTCCACGCAATATATATTCAGCAACTCACTGTTAAAGCTTTCATTAACGCCCTCATAAAGAAGTGGAAGTTAAAGTCAGCAAACATTGTACATACTCTGTTAATCCGCGATGACGGGCAGAGTGTGGTTGTTGATGACGATGTAGTGCAAAAACTACCCGAGGGGAAAGGACTTTTATTTGATTTTCTAGGAGCACGCGAAGGACCTAAAGGCCCGATATGGAACTCTACTCCCCTGTTTCTTTAACTAGGGATTCTGCTAGCAATAAGGCGAAATTATGACTCCGTCCATTGTTTCCCATGATTTTATACGAATTAGTCAAACTGCACAAAAGTCACAATCAGTAAAGCAGGAATAATTGCTGAACCTCATGCCTCATCGTAGTCCTGGAACATTAAGGGTTGAAAATACGGGGTCGCTATACCGTGCCGGCATGCGAGTAAATTCATTATCGAGAGCTGAGCGTTGTATTATACGCAATCGTAATGCACATATTAGTTCATGTTTCTAGACCAGGACTAGCACATACCAATTGACGTTTGTTGCAATACAACTTATTTCAGCCCCACAGCACGTCATATTTCAAACCTCTACGTTGGAGATTTCTTGCTAGTTAAATTGAGTTGAGTTACTCAAGATTCTCTTAGAAAAACAGGCCTCATATCCTAGTGAAAGCATAGCGTCACAACATATTGCAGGTCGCCTTCCTAGGAAATATGACTTCATACATTATAATTAAAGTGTTGGGAAGTAAATCTCTACCGTTTTGGATATCTTGAGTAAGAAACAATTGCCTCATTACGTATGTGTGACTTCATAATAGTATTCAAAGTACTATACTCAACCCTCTTCCTAGAAGCTTTTGGCCCCTATAGATCAGGTTTTATGTTAGCTTTTAAAATAATGACGACATGAGGAGGTATTATTTGCCATTTTTGTGGGTATAAAAAGCCAGCAATAATCGCGTAGTAACATGCACTAAATCAGAAACAACATTTTGGAAAAGAATATCATATCGCATTACTTTGACAGCTCCTAAAATGCCTCAATACAAGAAGGGCCAGAATGTGCGCTACAAGCCTGTGGGCGGTGCGTATCGCGAAGCTCTCCTTTCTGCTAAGAGCAATACTGATATTGAGTATATAGGCCCCGATTCAAATACCTCCGAGAGCGTCGGCTGTATTAAATCTGTCCTGACTGAACCAGGAAATCAGGCCGGCCGCAATGTCAATGCTAGCGAGGATAACCCCCGTTACGAGGTGAGCTATCGGGTAAGGTGAATTGCAAGGATATAACTAATGCTGCGCAGGTGGAAAATCAAAACACTGGAAAGACGACCACTATCTATGAGGAGAATATCTTGGGGTCTGTTTAGAGTACAGTAGGAAATATAATGTATCTTAGTTATTGCCTTATAAGGATCCACGAATCAAGTTATGCTAGTGTCGGGCTGTTTCATGACTTGGCTTCAGCTCACACGTAGCGAGTTGGTTGTTCAGATAATTTCGAAGCCTAGTTAGTTAGCTAGTTAAGAAAAGGTAATTCACACTAGTGGGTTGGCTAGGAGCATGGCTGCCTTGGTTAAGTCAAAATGATTTCCTCCTTGACTACACTACCAGAATCGCAAGACATCATCTCGCTCATTTTGCCTCTTCGTTAAACTATAAGTGCCTATATATCCTAAGTACTAAATGTATTCGAAGTGCCATTCGAATACCAATGTTATCTCTTGATCGATTTTCGATTTCTATAGATTTTATATCATGTGTGCTATATCAAATGGGTTATATTTTGCCCACGGAGACCCGCTCTCGGGGAAGCGGGAGGCAAATCTTTTGCACTATTCATCCTTTCAGTGGAAGTGTGCTTCGCCGAGATGGGTAAGTGAGGTGGCTTCCATCCTGGACGCATCTGGGATCTGGCAGCACTAGTATGTTCCTTTGGCTCCAGCGGGAGCTCAGTCATAAGGCTAGAAGAGGATTTGTGCTATAACCCAGGCGCGTTGTTACCTTCTAGAAAACAGCCGTGTTCGAGATCTCTGCTAGTAAGAAAGGTGATACATCTCTTCTCGGTAAGAGTTGGTTGCTCATTGGGAACTACGGTACTATTGGTCCCTAGGTTGCTGCTCTAGTGAATGTCGATACTACTGGGAAAATGAGTACACCCCTTCTAAGCATCTGACGTCACGTTGACATCAGATAAAATTTCGGTTGGTTTGTACCGAACAAGTTCTTCGGACACAGCTCTGAGGTTCAAAATTGAAACGGCTAACATAATCAAAAGGAAAATAGATTAATCACGTGTTGGTCTCCTTGGAATTTTCCAATGAGGGTAGGGTAACATCTGGCTCCTGAGTTAGATATATAATTCCATAGCGATACCACGATCCAAAACGATACAATAATGCAAAAATATATACAACGACCCAAAATTGAACATATTCTCAGATATTATTATTATTCTTCTTTATTATACTTCTATATTGTTAAAGACTATAAAGAGTTCACTATCTGAATTAGTTAAAGTTAACTTTTTATAGCTAAATTTAAATATATAGAGACGATCTTTTAACTATTTAATAAAGAAAAGAAATTTAATATAGTATAGTTTCTTTTATAGAGAACTAGATATAGTTATTAGTAAAAAGGAAAATAGTAAAATAATAAATAATTTTTGAATAAAGAAATAATTTTTAAAAAATAGCTTTTAAAGTTTTAATACTTTATATTTTAATTTCTCTTAAGAACTACTTTCTAGTAGCTATTTTTATTTCTTTTAAATAGTTTAATATAAAATTATCTATTTTAGTATAGAAATAGATTAATCTAGCTTAATAAAGAGCCTTATATATTCTAACTAGCCAAATCTGCAAAAAGTGGACTAGGAAAAGGTCTTAGAAATACTAAAATTAAATCTAAAGAAGGATATCTTTATATCTAAACTAGAAAGAGATTAGGATATCTATTTTAATATAGAGCTAAAAGATAAGGCTAAATAATTAAAAAGCCTAATTACTAAGACTATAGAAGATACTATCTCTAAAAAAAAAATATTAGAGTATTTAAAACTCTAGTAAATAGAAGAGCTAAAGAATCTCTAAAAGATAATAAAAAAAGAAGATATAAAATATAAAGAAGGCCTAATCTCCTTAAACTAATATAAGGAGGCTAGAAATATCTATTTTAAAGAAATTAAAAATACTAAATAGAAATATTAAAATATATTTCTAAAAGGTATAAAAGAAAAAGAGATATTTTAAGCCTTTAACTATATTAAAAAAAAGAGATTAGAAAAGCTTCCTATCCTTAACTATAAGAATAAAGATAACTAAGATACTAAAGCTATCTCTTTTAAGAATAAATATAAGGCCTTTATAGAGACTCTTTTTAAAAAACTATCTAGCTCTAATAGCTTTAACTATTTAAACTATTAGGAAAAAGAATAGAAATAGCCTCTACTAGTTAAAGAAGAACTTAAAGATATAATCTTTATTAGTTTATTAAAAAAGGCTCTAAATTTAAATAAAATATCCTTTCTAATAATTTAGAAGATTTTCCCTTTATTAGAAGAAAGGCTTTTTACCCTCTATAGTATACTATTAAAAAATAAATATTATTTAAAGTATTAGAGATAAGCAATAAAAGTAATAATCCTAAAGCCTAATAGAGACTATACTATTCTAAAGTTTTATAAAGTTATTTCTCTTTTAAACTACCTAGGAAAAATACTAGAGAAGATTATTACTACTAAACTAGGCTACTTAACCTTTTCTAGTAATAAACTATTCTACTTTAATTAACTAAAGGAGAGAAAATAATTCTCTACTATAAATACTATTATAAGTTTAACTTATAATATTTAACTAGCTAAAAAAGAAAAACTAGTAATATTAGCTCTTTTTATTAATATTAAAAGTATATTTAATTATATCTTTTTAAATTAATTAATAAAAGTTTATTAAAGACTAGATCTACTAAAACCTCTAATTCTCTAAATATCCTCTTTTATAACTAAAAGAACTATCTAATTAGCCTTTAATAGAGAAATTTAAAAAAAAAGAAATATAAAAATAGAAATACTATAAAGCTTCTTTATATTCCCTATTCTTTTTATAATCTATATTAAAGAACTTTTTAATAATTATAAAAAGTTTAAAGATATTAGGTTACTAAACTATACTAATAATATAGGTTTTATTATTAGCTTTAGAATAAAGCTAAAAAACTCTAAGAAGCTTAAAGAAATATTAGAAGTTATCCTAAAAAGATAAAAAAAACTTTTTATTTAAATAGATATTAATAAAACTAAATTTATTTACTTTTATGGAAATATAGATAAAGAATAAGACTTAATTTCTATTAAGATAAAAGATAAGGAACTTCTTTTAAAACCTAAAAAGCTAGTAAGATAGCTAGAGGCTTTTTTTAATAATAATCTTATCTTTAAAAAGTATATAGAAATAAAACTACTAGTAGCTAAAAAGGTCCTTAATTAAATATTTAAGCTATCTAATATTAAAAAAGGCCTATCTTTTTAAGCTACTAGATAACTTTATATAGCTTATATTACCTCTATAATAGACTATAGAGTTTCTATCTAATAAAAAGGCTAAAAGAGTTTACTAAAGAAATACTAATCTCTTTAAAATAAGGTATTATATAAAATCTTAGGCACCTTTAAAACCTTATCTATCTATATTATAGAAATAGAAGCCTCTATCTCATTAAGTAAGATTAGACTAAATAAGATATACTAAAACTATACTTTAAAAATAGTTAAGCTATAGGATAACTATCCCTTTAAAGCTAAGGTATTAAAATTATTTCTACTAGAATGTGATATAGAAATAGACTAAGGACGGGTATAAATTTGATAATTAAACCAAACCAACCTGAACCTGAATAGGTTGCTACTAGTCGAGTAATCCTTTTAAAAAACTCGTTTTAATAAGTCGGATATTCTTTAAATACCCAACCAGGTATTAAAATATTAATTACTAAGCTAAAACCTAATTATTAATAGAGAATTAAACTTTAAATTACTCTATTTAGCTAGTAAAAGTTTTAAAAATAGGCTAATCTAACCAAATTAGGAACTAAATAAGAAGATTAATATAATCGACTAATATCTAGTCAATATCAGACTTATTTAATACCCAAACTCGCGGGTACAGAATAATATAGATACTCACTAGGTCAAGGTGGGATAGGCTCAAAACTTGGTCCGAACCGACCTATCCCCAGTCTATATAGGAATAGATTTAAACTAGAAGAAATTCTATAACTAGCTAGAAAGAGACTATCTAGAAGGAAAAAAGGGAAAGCTAGAATCTTCTTAACTATTTAAGATAACCTCTAAAATAGCTAATCTTCTAATAAGCTTAAAGATAGAGGTGGTAGATTAGCTCTAGATTATTGTTACAGACCACCTGCGGCGCAGCCCCAGGATATACACTCATTGGACGGGAGGATCACGGGCCAGACCTTGAGGGCACTAGTCACGTGACCAATGGCGATAGGACCGATAGGACGGGCTTGGCAGCTTCCTATCAATACTATCACAATAACCGATAGGAGTGATAGGAACCCCTTGGTGGAGAACTATCGTACCTATCACTAGATATATACCATGTATATAAAGACGCTCATTACCTTAGAATCAAGAGTCTTATACTCGCGATCAAACTAGCTACAGTTTTACCATACTGCTCAATACAAAGCACCATTCTAGTTGTCTTATACTATATTTACCAAATACCCCTTTGCCCATTGACGCAGGTCAACTTTGTCTTCACTACTTATAAGGACCTTTAGCCTTTATCCGACCCAGGCACTGACTGAAGCCACACTTGGAACTGAGGGATAGTCTCGCTATAGTATTCTATCTTGCCCTGGTACCGAGCTGTCTCCTACAATGACTCACTTCCAACCCAAGCTTTCCCTAGGATCTTCGTACCTTCTATCCTACGGCAGGTGTGAACCTCTGATCTCCTTTAGGTGATCAAGGAGCGCCGTCAGCTTGTGACAATTATACTTTAGAATCAAAATCTAGATATCTTAATAGACTTCTAAATTAGTCTATCTACTAAAGAGGTAGTAAAGAAGGAGTATATAACACTATTAAAGGAAGTCCTAAAGAATAAATATAGTCTAATTTACTATTCTAATAGCTCTAAAGTTAAAAGTAGATACTTAGAAGTAGGAATCTTTAACTTTAGGACCTTCTATTTTAAATTCTAGAGCCTAAGGACTAAATTAGAGGTATATAATACTAAACTATTTATTATAGAGTAGGTATTTATTAAAGGTCTAAAAGCTATTTAAAAAAAAACCTCTTTAATAGACTCTTTTTTTATCTATTATTCTTCTAATAACG